TGTGACAGTAAAGCAATTAAAGCCCCCCCCCCCCCCCCGCCATTCCAATCTTCATAACAAAGACAATTTTTCTAGTGACAAATACTAATTACTTGTATTGTACTTCCAGGTTCCATGGCAGCTGCATAGTCTTTCTCGAGCTAGAGTTACACCCTCATGATGTCCATAAATGTATCAATCTGATCGTTCAATCCAGCAGACCTTCTGGACCTTTTCAAATATTGATTGTTGTCCCTTTAAGTTTAATCACTTTTAGCTAATTTTTTTAGGAATAAATTACAAATTAAAATGATGGGAAGGTTTAGGAAGGTAGAATGGCTTTAAAAGCTGGTCATGGGGTGTACAGAGCTTTTATTATTCAATCTGAAGACTAAATTAAAAGGTGGTATTTATAATATGCATACAGTATAATTATCATCAACACATGAATAAAAGTATCATTTTTTTTTTTGCATATAAAAAGAGTTTTTTTGAATATACGTGAATTTTCTTAGTTAAAATCATACATGGAAGACCCATTGCACTGTCATGGTCACATGCCATCCATTGTACTGTACATTCTGTTGCATACAGTCATTTTATTCTAATGCATCTCTTGGAACAAAGTCTACTTTTTCAAGGATGGACATGCAGTTAGTTGTATTTGTTTCCTTTTACAAGATCGTAATCTTGTAAAAATAAACAAATGTATCAAACAAACATGATATGTTTATATAGAGAACAATCATATATTGTGTGTTATTAAAGGAGACCTATGAGGTGTGTGATTTACACTCATCCTCATAGTTAGAGCCGACCTGTGACAATGAAACTGTCACACATCGGCTCTATTGATCGGGAATTCAGCGAACACATACCGTCGCTCGCTCACTTCCCGATCATCTCCCTGCAGAGAGCGGTCGCTGTCAGTCACCGTTCCCCGCAGGGATTCCCCCCCTCCCCGCTCCGATCCTCCAGCCCTGACTGGAGGAACGGACAGGGAGAGGGCAAGCACAACTGGCTCTGACTCTAGATAGCAAACAAAAGGGTAGTGTTCTCTGGAGATCCGAATCCACTCAGTATATCCCTTTATATTGAGTTATAAGTCAAGCTTATCTACACGGTCTTGTAACCAAAGCAATAAATGTAGATAGGCAAAGCCCGCTGTCAATCAGCCAGCTGGGTGGATCTGAACAGTATTGTCGGGAATAGCCCGCTATATAATGAGCTTTGGATCACGGGAGGTGGTTAGTATATGTCCTCCCGTGACCCTAAAGAGAACTATGGGATAAAAAAGGTTACCCCATAGTTGTCTTTTAAACCTGCAAACACCAAAGTGCGATGGATCAATAGGAAATACCTATCTGACAATGTAGCAAAATACCGGTGTACAGAACCAATTACCGTACATTTATGGCCAGGACCTGAGTATAAGGCACCACACCCCTGAAAATAGTAGTCACAAAGGCAAAGAAAAGGTGTACAGGACCATCGATCGTTTTGGAAATAGCCATTTGATTTTCTTTTTCTTAGCCAAAAAAGTTGTTGACATTGCAAGTGGTCTGAATGATATAGCCCAATCTACGGTTATTGATCCAATGTTTCTCACAAGCGATTAATCAAACGACTGGATCGAACAATCGATTACATTAAAATGTGATGTCCAAGTAAAAGAAAATAAGAATACTGCTGATCCAAAAAAAAGACAACAGAATGTTGGGGATGTCAGTTTATCCTCACAGCTGGGAGGGGGGATGGGGTTTGATGGACGGACGGACTATAACTTTTTAACTTCAGTGTAAACCCAATCATCAATAGAGAATATAAGCTTTGAAAAGTTAAAAGTTAAAGAACTCCCAAAATCATTCTCAGTTTCTCAATCATTTTATATCTGCAACTTGCAATAGAAATAATCCCTGGAGATCCGGCCATATAGGTGCTTGTTCAGGTAATTCTTGTTACAGATGGCAAAAAATGGCACTGAATCCCAGAGCACAGTAGCAACTCCCCCCACCCTTCCCCATGAAAAACCAATATATAATAGGGATAATTGGGGCTTTTCAGGGCGCCACAGCAAACTTAAAATCTTTCTATAAAAACAATATTGTTTTTTTTTAAATAAATAAAAAAAAAACCCACACATGAAAAGCATGAATACTAAATTCTGTATACTTCATTAACGTATGCACTTGTCTTCATCATACAAAGAGCCTCTCGGCGTTAATTTACAAACGGATTTGTCATATCATAGATTAACTGTATATGCGTAATTAACAGATCACAAACATATGTGGAGTTGCCCAGTCTTCTGCGCGTTCTGCTTTATCGGGAAGAGGAGATAACCTACAACGCCCATAGATTAGTGCAACAGTAAACATATGTACACAATTTCATAACGCATTTAGTGCCATATATCAGCAACTGATTTAATCAACTTACTCTAGACAATTAAGTCAACATACGCCTATGGGCCACTCCACATATGCCTGGGATCTGTTAATTATGAAAAATGCAGCAAAGGGTTGGGGGGAAAACAAAGTGGAAGGATGTTTAAAAATGGCAACCGTTTCTGATATACAGTGCTTTGGCAAATTAAATCAGGGGTTATCTACTTAAACAATAGATAGATAGATACACACAGTATCTCACAGAAGTACACCCCTCACATTTTTGTGAGAATGTGAGAAGTGAAAATGTCCAAA